AATTACATCGTCCTCGGTGTTGTATCTATGTTTATGGAAATTACATCGTCCTCGGTGATGTACCTATGTTTATGTTAATTACATCGTCCTCGGTGTTGTATCTATGTTTATGGAAATTACATCGTCCTCGGTGATGTACCTATGTTTATGTAAATTACATCGTCCTCGGTGTTGTATCTTTGTTTATGTCAATTACATCGTCCTCGGTGTTGTATCTATGTTTATGGAAATTACATCGTCCTCGGTGATGTACCTATGTTTATGTTAATTACATCGTCCTCGGTGTTGTCTCTATGTTTATGTAAATTACATCGTCCTCGGTGTTGTATCTTTGTTTATGTCAATTACATTGTCCTCGGTGTTGTATCTATGTTTATGTTAATTACATCGTCCTCGGTGTTGTCTCTATGTTTATGTAAATTACATCGTCCTCGGTGTTGTATCTTTGTTTATGTCAATTACATCGTCCTCGGTGTTGTATCTATGTTTATGTAAATTACATCGTTCTCGGTGTTGTCTCTATGTTTATGTTAATTGCATCGTCCTCGGTGTTGTATCTTTGTTTATGTCAATTACATTGTCCTCGGTGTTGTATCTATGTTTATGTTAATTACATCGTCCTCGGTGAGGTATCTATGTTTATGTCAATTACATCGTCCTCGGTGTTGTATCTTTGTTTATGTAAATTACATCGTCCTCGGTGTTGTATCTATGTTTATGTAAATTACATCGTCCTCGGTGATGTATCTATGTTTATGTAAATTACATCGTCCTCTGTTATGTATATATGTATACGGTTAGAACAAACACTTCTTTGTATATATGCATACGTTTATCATAGGATTCTCTATGATGTTTATATGTATACGATTCTTTTATAAATGTTAACCAGTAAATATAAGTTTATAAAAATATCGCAGAATCATGATATTGACCAATTATCTTAATAACAATAATTTGCCATTATTGTTAATGTTGTCATGTAAACGTACTTTATTTCTGTCATTACTTTCTCGCATTCAAATTTGAATGTTTTCGTGATTTCAAGTATATGTGTAAATTTAAACCTTTATCTTAGCCATCTATAAAAGCAAATAAGGTACATATTCGAGATTGTCGGAACATGCATAAAATGCAGAACTTAAAATTAGCATGTAATTGACATATTTCATCGACATTAAAATTAATATCACATTTCATTTCAACTTTAAGGAACAGTTTCGTCAATATACACGCAGATGGCATGTGTTTACGGTGCAACATTTATTGAAATTTAAATACTAAAATATTTTAAAAGTATTGGATATGCTGTGTAATTATGCGTAACACAGTGTAGTGAGACCAGCATGTGTCTATACAGGAACCACAGATAACTACCTGTGCATCCTTAACTGTTTTATACCCATTCACCTGAGAAAATGAACATCTTCTTACGACACAGATGCACTCAAGACAGGGTTGCCCTATATACACACTTTGTACGTACCAAATCACATAGCAGAAAGAGTATTCACAAATCGTTATGCACGCGTTATATAACTTCAGCATTTGCACTTAAAAGATGGCCTTGGTGAATTTTGGTACTATTTAGGAATAATTTAAATGTAGGTTTTGTTGTAATTAATCGACAACGGAGGTGTATAACATACCAGCAATATGATGTGTGAAGCAATATCGTTTTAATACAGGTAAAAACCTTATCCCGACAGGTCGTTGAGCTAAAGTGTAGGACGGGTCTACTTTCAAATCAAAGAGTTCACAGATTTGACCTTACTTCGACGATGTGTACGAACAATAATTATAAACACATCCGTAAGTTTTACCCTTCTTTTTTAATCAAATCAGCTGCATAAATATTTGTTCGACTAAATACAGCTACATAGTGTTGACCTGAAGAAGAGCGAAAACAGTATGTTTATTCTTAGTATGTCCTCTCTTTTATAACCATTAAAATCGGACAAATGGAAATCGATGCGTGCTTACAATATACTTGTATATATACAAATCTGTGTGGGAAACAGTTAAACTTAATCAGTGTCCAGTCAACATTTTCAACGATATTGCAGTCGTGGACTAGTAACAATGATATTTCTTAAGAATTGTACTGCACTCTTTCATACTGTGATCTCCATGACTTAGTCCTGGTATTAGTTAGTGGTATGTTCTTCATGACTTAGTCCTGTTATTAGTTAGTGGTATGTTCGCCATGACTTAGTCCTGTTATCACTTGGCGTTGTGCTCTATAATCTACCACACATTGACCGATGCGTAGTATTTTAATGTTTGTTATTATATATAAGAGATAAATATAAATCCTTTCGTTGTAATGGCGCCATCAGCTTAGTTTGTCCTTGCAATCACTTTGCCATGGGATTGATCAGCACCTGAACAAAAGAAAGTGATGTTAGGAAAATCATACACATGTCAAAGTAGAAACATAGGATAGTATTTACAGATGGTGTAATACATATTGGATTGTACATAAGATAGCAGCATATGTATAACATTGTAGTAACAAAGGTTGACGTGTAGACATTATTTGCTGGGAAGTAGTTACAAACGTCGCGTTGTACAAGTAGTGACCTTATTAGATTCCAATAACTTCCAGTACGTGTAGTAATAGACGATGGTTGTAGGAAAGCACCGGAGTGAAATCCCTGTTCCGTCGTTGGATAACAACTTACTCCATTAGACATGCTTAAATGTTTTAATGCTTACACTGCAGATCGAACTACACCTGTTGTAAATTGTTAAGATGATGAGTGGTGTTCACACTTTACTGTATACAGTAGTATCGACTGTGTTTGACAAAGCGCTTACCGTGTAACACACGTAAGGTAGTAATAGTGTATGCATTGGATATTCGTCTAAGGCTAAATATTTAGTTTTGTAGTTGTTTTCTCCTTCAATTGTTTTATTTATATTTCTCCTTTACCTCAGATCAATTGTTTTATGGTTGAACTTGACCTCAGTTTTAATGTTTCATAGTTGTATTTTACTTTATATAATTATATTGTTTTTTTTTAAAGAGTTTTACTTTAGGATTGCAAATGAGTTCAGAATTGTTGTTTTGAAGCTGACTTTACGTAACTTACACGGATTTTTTTACGTAACGAATGAATTGTTTGAATCCTCCTATATTGGCTATCTGTCCTCCGAGGTCGGCCGAAAACTTGAGGGTGAGTTTCATAAATACCAATGTTTTTACTGCGTGGAGTGTAAATGATCTATTGTAGCCTAAGGCTATACAAGCTTTTAGGAGTTTCTTATTGGCAATCTTGTTCTTTTGCTGTATTAGCATATATATTTCTGAACACTTAATGGTATGTATTTCCATCCTTTCGACCTTACGTAGCAATAGAGAATCCTAAATGGACGAATTAGCCCGAAGGTGCTGTAAGATATGTATATTGTGCTTCCACAAAGTGAATTATCAAACCGGTGTTTCCTTGCTTGGTATTTCTAGTTAATATTATATATAAATAGCATCATACTTACAGTTTTAACTTCGGTATATTGTGATAATCCATACTCTCCTCTGCAATACAAAAATATACTTAGAAACGCCTATAAATAGTTCCCCCAGTTATTTATTAACACAGCTTTACTAACTCATTTAACACAAGAACTGTATTAAATGAGCACAAATTTAGAAAACATTTCAAGCAAAGCACGTATGGTTCCTTGTCTTGTCGTAATAACATAACTAATGTTCATTCTGAAAACGTCATTTCAAAAAATGAATGATACAAATTTGAATGATTGATAACCAAGTTGATTTAAAATTTCTACGTAGGTAATCCACTTACAGTTCTCGGCCAACCCCCGACATCTTGAATCCTCCAAACGGACTCTGTGCATTGACAATGTTGTACAGGTTTACCCTGATAAATAAACAGAATCACTGTACATAATACTGCATAAATGTCATTTAATGTTATTTTACGTAATACGTACCAGACACCACTTCACATGAAAAATTACTTCACATAAATTCATAATACAGTCACTTCACATAATACAGTCACTTCACATGATACATTGACATCACATAATACAGTCACTTCACATAATACAGTCACTTCAAATACTACATTCTACATTTACCTCACACAATACATTCACTTCACATAATACATTCACTTCAAATACTACATTCTACATTCACTGCACACAATACATTCACTTCACATAATACATTCACTTCACATAATACATCCACTTCACACAATACATTCACTTCACACAATACATTCACTTCACAAAATACATTCACTGCACACAATACATTCACTTCACATAATACATTCACTTCACATAATACATTCACTTCACAAAATACATTCACTTCACATAATACATTCACTTCACATAATACATTCACTTCACATAATACATTCACACTTCACATAAAACATTCACTTCACATAATACATTCACTTCACACAATACAATCACTTCACATAATACATTCACTTTACACAATACATTCACTTCACACAATACAATCACTTCACACTATACATTCACTTCACACAATACATTCACTTTACACAATCCATTGACATCACATAATACGGTCACTTCACATAATACAGTCATTTCAAATAACATTTTTTCCTTTTGTGTGCTATAAAATGTTTTTGATATAACAAACGGGTACGTATACTTTACTTGCTTTATGAATAGCATTTCATGTTATTGTTAATTTGTATGTTAAGAACCGAGATATATTCCAGAATTATTCAAAGTATTCAGACTACAAGGATAAGTATTCCTAAAAAGTGGTAGCTTATATATAATTAATTCGTTTCTACTCTTAAATACTGGAAATCGTATGTAATTGATTAGACTTGGACTACCTTATTTGAATAGCATCTTTTTTTATCTGATGAAAATTTCACTGGTCGTTACCGTTGGTCATTTTGTTTTTAGAATGTCTTAAGTAGGGTAATATGTTTACTGTTACAATTAACCATGACCACAAGAATACATACCATACTGTTCCGGCTTTGACCCTGTTAGAAAAGGTTATTGCCTTTCCAAGGTCATTGGTAAAAATGGCAGCAGCCAGGCCAAATGGTGTGTTGTTTGCCCTCTCGATAACCTCTTCCATAGTCTTGAACTTGATAATTTGCTGAACTGGTCCGAAAATCTGAAGTATGATTAGCGGCAAACGTGAAGTAAACAAGCCAAACACTAATATTAAATTCAAGATATTATGTTGATGATGATACATATGGAATGATGATTGTATGATGATGATAATGATTGTATGACAATGATGATAATGATAATGATTATGATGATGGATGATGGCAATGATGATGATTGAATAATTATATATGAAAGAGGATGATGACGATGATTAAGATGAATGATGCTGATGATGATGATATTGTCGATGCTGATGCTGATGCTGATGATTCTGATGTTGATGCTCATGATATTATGATGACAATGAAAATGATTGTGATAATGCTAAATCCATGTCCGTGTGTGTATGTGTGAGAATGCGTGATGTCCTGTTTATGTATATGTATATGTAATGAAAAACTTGGAAAAATAAAACCATTACAAAAAAAACCCAATAAAAACCAAGATATTACGACATCACTGTAACAACATGATGGCAATGCTTTTTATGATTATATAAGCAGATACAGCTATCTTATCCAGACTGACGAGATTACGCGTTAGTCACCTCCTCTTTCCCGATGGTCATTTCCTCTGTGACACCAGTGAAGACGGTCGGCTGGATGAAGTAACCTTTGCCCTCCACGGCCTTCCCGCCACACTCCAGTTTAGCACCGTCCTTCACTCCCGAGTCTATCATTGACAGAATCTTCTTAAACTGCTCTTCGTTGATCTTGACATATTAAATATAACAGATATTAAGAAAATGCAACTGTCGGAGACAAACATACATGTACCAGATATATAACAATCGAAAGTTGTTCTTGTGTTATGCTAAATATGCATTACTCTTTTTTCAATTATTATGTAAATAATGTTTGAAAATACATTTGATAAAACAAAAACTCATTAGCAATCCCTGTCCTATTTTTCTAATGTAATTATGGTAGATTTACATATTACTTGTGGTCCAGCTTCATTCTTGGGATCAAACGGGTCTCCAACGGGTTTATTCTGAGCCCTTTTGACAAGTTTGGAGGTAAATTCCTCGTAGATATCCTCCTGGACATACGTCCTTGACCCCGCCGTGCAACACTGACCCATATTGTAGAACAATGCCTGATGGGACATCTCAGCCGCAAAGTCCACTGGGAGATGACACAAACATGAGATTGACTCTACTATCGATAAATGCTTTACATATAGCTTATCTTATAAGAAGGTTTTTGTTTTGTGTGACTTGGATATGTATGGTACGATCATCAACAACTGAATAACAGAATAAACGCATAACGTAATAATCACGTGAACTTGACTTAATTAATGGGAAATTTCATTGGGAGACAAAGCAAGATTACACGAAAGTAAACAGTCAGGGAGAAAAGTACTTGTATTACAATTTACGTGTTTAAGACATCACTCACGATCAGCGTCAGCAAAGATGACGTTTGGACTTTTCCCGCCCAATTCCAGAGTGACACGTTTGAGGTTAGACTTGGCGGCAGCTTCCATGATAAGTTGACCGACCTGTTAACCCAACAGTGACGATTGTAATAATATATAAAGTACCGACGCACCTTGTCTAGTTCAGCATAAATGATAAGTATAAAGTCTCTATCTAGTTAAACTATATACATATATATAAGACTTAAGAAATAATTATAATCAAATTGAATGTTTCTCAACAGGAATTTCCATTCTGACAAAACGTTTGGCCGGTGTACCTCTGTTGATCCAGTGAAAGCAACTTTGTTGATGTCGGGATGACTGGAGATGGCAGCACCGGCGGTTGGACCATATCCGGGCACTATGTTCACAACTCCGGCGGGAAAACCAGCCTGAGTGAAAATACAATGAACAAGGTAAAAGGAATGTTTATTTATTATCATTGAATTAATTTTACTTATGTGATTGATGCATCCTCATTCATACTTTAAAACTATGGTTTAAATAACATTACAGTAGTTTACATCGAAAACGGAGTCTTTAACAATTATTAAACTAATTTAATAGAATGACACTCTGATTATAAAAAGAGTTATGTAGCTTTAGCTTAACATATTTTTTTCCTGCACTTAATGAAAAATTACCGCTGTAGGAGAGAGAAACATGTTTCCAATAGTTATTAATTCTACGTGCTATGAAGCATCCGACATTAGATCACAGAGAGTATACATGATTCAGAAACAAATATAAAACAGGATATTTTCAACAAGTGCAAAGTTTGATGGTTCATTTTCGGAATGCTTTTCTCAATAGTTTGTGAAATTGTATTCAGAAATGCATAAATTGAAAAAAACCGAAGTGCATTGAAAGTGTCCCATTTCGATTACTTTGCCGCATTACCACAGCTAGCATAAGTACACAGTACTGCTTTGATGTAGTGAGTATCGTTGTAGATGATTCTTTGACTATTACCACTACCTCTTTGAGATCCCATGAACGAGGCCATTATGTACCCTTACCTCTTTGAACAGCGACCCCATGTGCAGGGCTGTGAGTGGGGTTTGTTCGGCAGGCTTCAGGACGATGCAGTTTCCACAGGCCAGAGCGGGTGCTATCTTCCACGCCATCATTGCCAGTGGGAAGTTCCACTAGAAAATCGAATAAATGCATGAAGACATAGCTGAAGAAATAGTTCACGTTTTTATTGTGATTTTTTCTCTTTTTTTCTTCTTCTTAATTTTCGTGCGAAATAAGACCATCTTAGCAATGTAGATACATCATTTAAACTGAAGTTGAATAATTGAATACGGCAAAGCTTCGAATATGTATTTACAATACGATTCCATCAATAAGCTTATTTTCCCTGTGCAAGGTAGGCATTGAGATATTGACATTGATCTTTATAACAATATCATTAAAAAGAAAAAAGATGGTTTGTAAACATGTGATAAACATGAAGCCGATATGATGATATTTGCAATTACCGGAATGATCTGCCCACAGATTCCCACTGGCTCATGTCTGGTGTAGCAGAGGAAAGGACCGTCTTAAATGGAAATATGGCACTAGGTTATGTTAAATACTGGTAACTGTCAATTAGCTGTTTAATCTATTGCAGTAATACATGACCTCTATAAGCTTTTAAAATTACATAATGATTTCATAATGTGATATACGTTACCAACTATATAATGGACCAGACCAGTATAATGATTTGAAAATAATGTATGCTACAAATATATGAGAATACATTAAGTATGAATTGTGAAAAGATGAAAAGGAACTGAATTGTAAACTCTTAATACATGAGAATGCATTAAATAGTTTGGTTTGGTTTAATTTTCTTTAACGTCCTATTAATAGCTAATGTCATTTAAGGATGTTGCATTGGATACAAATAACTGTGTATATATGAAAACTTAATGAAGTATGAATTATAAAGATATTAGCGTATACTAAATAACGAATTGTCATATATATTAGCATATACTAAATAACGAATTGTCATATATGATAGCATATACTAAATAACGATTTGTAATATATATCAGAATCTACTAAATCATGAATTGTAAATATATTAGAATATACTTAAGTATGAATTGTAAGTATATTAGAATGCACTGAAGCATGAACTTCTATATAAACCGTCTTTATTTCTGTATAACGACATGGTTTTAAAGGTAGTCCGTTACAGATGGACACGCACCCACAGGGATGGTCTTGCCACAGATTTTGTCCGTCCAGCCGGCGTAGTAACGGATGGTGCCGATGATCATGATCATGTCATTACAATACATATCCCGGAAAGGTTTCCCATTGTCTAACACTTCCAGACTCTGTAATGAAGATAAGAAAGGTTTACCTCTCTATTAATATTTTGTTTTGCAGTGTAAAGGAAAAAAGAAAACAAAGCGTCTTTTCCTTCATCAACAACAACCGCCATATAAATGTAGGTCGGATCCAAGTGATGTCACGTCCTCACAGCGACAACAAAACCACATGGAACACTTATAAGTGTAATAAAAACATCGACATTTATGTAACATGAACAAATAAAATATTTCCCAATGAAACTATGAAAGTTTTTATCAACCTGCAAAATTGAAAACCTTGTGTTATAACTGTATCCTTTATCCATCACCAGTCAAGGTTCAAGCTTTTGAATACCTTCTCTTATCCTGTATACTATACAAGATAACAAACATGAAAGAAGCTTCCCTATATATATAAGTACATTGTATATAACATATAGGCTGATTTTCCTTGAATAAATGTTGTATTAAGATCACGAACACGACTGCTATGACGTTTACAGTATATGTGACTTACTCGACAGAAATGACATAAATTTACAGTATATATGACGTACACGACAGATATGACGTTTACAGTATATGTGACGTACACGACAGATATGACGTTTACAGTATATATGACTTACTCGACAGATATGACGTTTACAGTATATGTGACGTACTCGACAGATATGACGTTACAGTATGTATGACGTACACGACATATATGACGTTTACAGTATGAATGACTTACTCGACAGATATGACGTTTACAGTATGTATGACGTACACGACAGATATGACGTTTACAGTATATGTGACGTACTCGACAGATATTACGTTTACAGTATGTTTATATGACGTACACGACAGATATGACGTTAACAGTATATATGACGTACACGACAGATATGACGTTTACAGTATGTTTATATGACGTACACGACAGATATGACGTTTACAGTATATATGACGTACTCGACAGATATGACGTTTACAGTATATATGACGTGCACGACTGCTATGACGTTTACAGTATATATGACGTACTCCACAGATATGACGTTTACAGTATATATGACGTACTCGACAGATATGACGTTTACAGTATATATGACGTACCGACAAGAAGACTCTGTCTCGCTCGATGAGGTCGGCCAGTTTGTTGAGGAGGACCCCCCTGGTGCTGGCGTTCATCTGTCTCCATGGCGAGTCGTCTTTAAATGCGGCCTTGGCAGCTTCCACAGCCTTATTTATGTCAGCCTGTGTTTTATTAAAGTATACATATAGTAATCGGATAAGTCGTATCAATGTAGGATTTCAGTCGACACAAGATTGACATAGTCATGACATGGTAGGTGGTTAAGTATGTTGCTGACTACAAGGAAGGTTGTTAAATGGTCAAAATCAAGGATGTTCATAAGTAACAAGGTAAGAGGTTATTGGTTAAAGGATTAAAGGTTTATTTGCAACAGGGTAGAGGTCATTCGTAAAATAAGTTTTCATAATCATTTCTAACAAGATTAGGGTTCATTGGAAAACAGGCTGGATGTTCATTTGTAGCAAGGTTAGAGTTCATTGATAAACAGGTTAGATTGTCATGTGTGGCAAGGTAAGATTTCATTGCTAGGCAGGTTAGATGTTCATTGGTAGCAGGTTAGAGTTAATTGGTAAACAGGTTAGATGTTCATTTGTAGCAAGGTTAGAGCTCATTGGTAAACAAATTAGATGTTCATTTGTAGCATGGTGACAATTCTTTGATAAACAGGTTGGATTTGCATTTGTAGCAAGGTTAGAGTTCATTGGTAAACAAGTTAGATGTTCATTTGTAGCAAGGTGACAATTCATTGATAAACAGGTTAGATTTTCATTTGTAGCAAGGTTAGTTTTCATTAGTAAACAGGTAAGATGTTCAAGGTTGCATTTTCAGTGGTTACAATGTTGGATAAACATGTTTATATTAGCCTCAAGGTCAGATGTTAAGACGCCATAAAGATGGGGGAGGTAATCCAGCGGTGTAGCGGCACCAATTCACATTTGTAAACGAGAAGCATGGTCGATGTCACCAGGGGTGTTTTCATATAATTACAATTGAACAATTAGTAACAGCTTTGTTACAATACAGTATTTACGTGCACGTGTAAACTTTTTTCAATTTTCGTTTCACATATTATTAATTTTTTCCCACAACTTTTGTGCACAAATCTGGCCTTACCTTGTCCCCTTCCTGGATGTCGATGATCTTTTCCCCTGTGGTCGGGTTGAGGGTCACGAACGTCTTGCCGCTTACAGAGTTCACGTACTCATTGTTTATAAATATCTGTAATAAAAGCACGCAGTGTATCAGTCATGAGGGCAATACGCCAACAATAGTCACCAGTTAATCATAATTCTTCTTTTGGTCAATGTCTGCCAATATCTGTGTGATCTGATACCTATATAGCTTATATACATTGTAAATTGTTATAAAGATAAATAATATCTTTGGAAGTGTTGTGTGTGTGATGTGAATGTATTTGTATTTCAGTTATGTTAATTAAGAAGGAGTTACACCCCTTTAACTTTTTTGTTTATAATTTACATTTCAAAATTGATGTATTAATTAAATCAAATAAAAATAACAGAATCCGTTAATTTAGCCACCGCTGGAGATAATTTATATAGGCTTTGTCTGTTATTCCATCCAATTGACTTGTACATGTATCAACTTTGTCAATAAAATTTGTTGAAATGAAATTCTTCTTAAAGGGGACACCTTGCAGCTTTAAGTCTCTTACACCCTGATATACAGTACAACCTGTCGAGCAAGACCAACTTAGGGGGATAAAACAAAAGTGGTTTAAATATCCATTTCTTTTTTAATAAACATTGTATTATTATTTAGAATACACAATACATGTTATTATTTAGACGACAGTTATAGAAATGTGTATTTAACATAAGGGTGTTATTGTTCAACATATAACATATGGGATGTCCTTTTATTTGTGACTATAGACAAGGGGCTTATGTAACAGGGTGCTACGCAGAATGTGCAACATGGGATAGTATTTGCATGATAGTTACATGCAGGTGTTTTTCATTACCAGAGTGTATTATCATAAAGAATTACCTATAAGGGAATACCATGAGTGTCAACAAAACCATACTTTGACTCTAGGTCGATAAAAGCTAGGACACAATATAAACAAAGGAGATATTTACATGGAAACCATTGTAAAAGTACATGTACAATGAAAATATACGACATACGGGTATTCTACAGATGGTAATAATGGAAGGTGTTGTTTTTTTACAAACAGGGTGTTATCAAAAATTCGATTTACTTAAGATGGTAGTTGTAGACAGTTGGTATTTTTAGACTTTGATTACTAAAACATGTCACACTATTTCGATGAACTGTTTAATAAATACAGATAATTTCACGTCAGTAAATCTGGCTTTTAATACTATGGCTTGTATTTAGTATTTAGGTGTAGAATAAAACTATCATTAAGGTGAAACAAATACCAGATGCAATCTTATCATCATTCCCAAATAGTTCCTTATTTCATGAAGATGTTTTATTGCATTTGTATAAGTGCTCATAATGTCATTTTATGATATACGAGATATGATGAATGATAACATCGATGTATGTAAATATTACGTTTTATTGCTCCTGACGTATTGTAGATAGTTTATGCATCAACACGACGCAATGGTAAATCAATAATGTGTATGATAATGACGTAACTAGTGTAGGCCTGTCTAACGTTACCACCGAGTATCTTATCAGGTATATGGCTGTACAGATCGTTATCTCAGGAAATTAGTATAAATGTAACATGTTCAAGGACAACGGAATACAGGGGCAGTCATACACTGTTGTTGCTAGCATAATTTCTCGAGCATTCGACTTCACGTTTTTAACGTTCAAGATGATAATTATGCAGAGTATATTTGTCATGTACGTGTAAGGTCGAGCAATAGAGATAATGAATCGACCGGCCGACATATTATGTGGAGTGCTAGATAAAATGTGTCGAGCGGCCGACATGTTATGTCGAGCACTAGATATAGTGTGTCGAGCGGCCGACATATTATGTCGAACACTAGCTATAGTGTGTCGAGCGGCCGACATATTATGTCGAGCACTAGCTATAGTGTGTCGAGCGGTCGACATATTATGTCGAGCACTAGCTATAGTGTGTCGAGCGGCCGACATATTATGTCGAGCACTAGCTAAAGTGTGTCGAGCGGCCGACATATTATGTCGAGCACTATATACAGTGTGTCGAGCGGCCGACATATTATGTCGAGCACTAGATATAGTGTGTCGAGCGGCCGACAAATTATGTCGAGCACTAGATATAGTGTGTTGAGCGACCGACATATTATGTCGAGCACTAGCTATAGTGTGTCGAGCGGTCGACATATTATGTCGAGCACTAGCTATAGTGTGTCGAGCGGCCGACATATTATGTCGAGCACTAGCTAAAGTGTGTCGAGCGGCCGACATATTATGTCGAGCACTATATACAGTGTGTCGAGCGGCCGACATATTATGTCGAGCACTAGATATAGTGTGTCGAGCGGCCGACAAATTATGTCGAGCACTAGATATAGTGTGTTGAGCGACCGACAT